TACGACAAAGGGGTTCTTTTTAGCGGTTAACGCGCAAACTTGTGTCTTCTGGGGGTTAAACTGGACTAGATTTAGTCGCCCCCAATCCGAGAATCTGTCCAGCAGAGACTCGACTTCAGACACAAGTTTGTCCCGGCACTCAGAGACGTTTTCCCGAGAAATATTAGCTCGGCCGGTGTAAAGAGCATCACCAGTGCTGTTATCTGCATAGCAATGAATGCTACGGGTTTGCAACATATCATTGATATGCAGAAGAAACAGCGTTGGCGATAGCACGCAGCCCTGTGGAACACCAGCATTAATAAGCTTGCAATCGGAGCTTGCACCGTCTACAACGACCTTGATGTTCCGATCTGCAAGAAAACTGGTGATCCAATCGCACAATTTCTCGGGAAGCCCATAGGAAGGGAGCTTCGAAAGAAGCGCTTTGTGCCAAACCCGATCGAAGGCCTTCGCAATGTCCAAACTAACGGCCAATGCCTCCCCCTTGGACTCTACTGCCTCCGCCCATCTGTGAGTTAGGTAGACCAGAAGATCACCAGCTGACCTACCACGGCGAAAACCGTATTGGCGGTCACTAATCAGCTGGTGATCCTCAAGGTACCTCATGAGCTGGCAGTTTACAATGGACTCCATTATTTTGGAGAACAAGGAGGTGATGGCGATAGGCCGGTAGTTGGACGGGTCTGAGCGGTCGCCTTTTTTTAGGGATCGGGTGGACGAAAGCCGTCTTCCATGATTTTGGGACTACGCCTAGGGAGTAGGAGTACCGGAAAAGACGCGTTAAAACCGGTGCCAACTCTGGAGCACACGTCCTCAGCACAATTGGGGGGATTCCGTCAGGCCCACTCGACTTGTGGATGTCCAGGGAGAGGAGTGCTTTGCGAACCGAGCGCTGAGTGAACTGCACTTCCGGCATGGAGCACTCACACCGCGGGATGGTCGGCGGCGTACTCCTCCGTCATCGAGAGTCGAGTTGGACGCAAAGAAAGAGCCTAGAAGATTGGCTTTCTCCTTTGCGGTATGGGCCAGTGAGTCGTCCTCCCTGTGCAGAGATGGAAGAGATGGCTGACAGAAATTCCCCTGGACAGCCTTGGCGAGAGACCAGAATGCACGGGTTCCAGAAGGAAGGCAAACTAGTCTCTCGCCAATTCTGCCTATGTGCTCTGACTTTGCCTTGGCAATGACTCTTTTGAAGGACCTAGAGGCGGAATTATACTTCTTTTTTAGAGCGCAGGAGTTTACATCCCTGGACGCTGATGCGTCAGCCCAGGCTCGGTAACACTCCTGCTTATAGCATGATGCTATTTTACAGGAGCGACAAAACCATGGCTGAGATTTGCCTCCAATGGGCACCACAGAGGAAGGAATAAAAAGTTCCATACCCTGAAGTACCGCATCAGCGACAGAATCCGCAACAACGTTGGGATCGTCGGGCGAGAAGCAAACCCGCCCCCAAGGGTAGGATGCAAAGAAAGACCGCATCCCATCCCAATCGGCTGACCTATAGTGCCAAACACGGCGGCAGCCTGCTGCCTAAAGGGGCGTCGATGGAAATCTGATATCCGTCCGGGTGAGAGGTCAGCAGAAGGTCCAACAGGGAAGGTGCATGATCCTCCACATCTGGAATCCGCGTAGGCGAAGTAACCAGTTGTGTCAGACCATATGCCAACGCAAAATCATGAACAGATCTCCCCGCATGATCGGTTAAACGTGAACCGAGCCATTCGGCGTGATGGGCGTTAAAGTCGCCGAGGATCACGATCTCTGCGGAGGGGATCTGCTGTAGCAACGAATCTGCAGCCATTTGGACGTGGTCGAAGAGTCGGTCTGTTTCGGCATTACCGCTATGGGACCTATAGAGGCACCCGTAGACGCGCGGATGGTCGTCGCTGTCTACGCGTAGCCAAAGGATGGACGGGTCCGAACCTTCAAGTCTGCCGAGGCGTCGAGAACAGATGTCCTCTCTGTAAACGCAAACTCCAGCCCGAGGCACAAAGGAGTGTTCCAGTTTGTACCCCGGGCAGGAGAGATACGAGACATCAGCCGGAGAGGACACCTGCGTCTCGGTCAGAAAGAGCAGAGCCGGCCTCGCCGTCTCGAGATGGTAGTGGACGGCGTTTAGGTTAGAGTGAAGTCCCCTGATATTGCAGAAATTCACGGACAGCGTGGCAGGGGTCGCCTTGGTCTTGTTGCTCCGTTTGCCCAGAGCAGTTTTAGTCTTGAGCGGAATTTTGCCCCCCCCCCCCCCCCCCCCCAGAATACGCGGGGCAGCCTGAGCACCCACGCTCAGAAGTGGAGAAACATGGTCGTGGATGCTCAGCGAGGGATTCTCCAGGGGGTGCTGGTACCCTCCTGGGGTAGTCTATCATTTAATTCCGCTACCATGTTGATGGGGGGGGTGATCTGGGCCTCTCTCTGGGCCTGATGAACAGATTGTGATGAAACTTCACTAACAGATGGAGAGCAATACGAAGAGGAATCTAGGCTATATTTTGTACAAAAATGTAAAGCTTTTTTTTTAAGGAATACTGATAAAATTATGTCTTTGATTATCTTACATCTAAATAACACGTAAGAAGAACATATACAGGCGAAGCTGAAACGGTGTGTTCATATTATATGCCTTTCCTTAAATTCATACACGCTTCAACAACATTGTTGACAAAATTCTGGAGTAATATTGTAATCATCCGGTTATTATAGTGAAAGTTATCAAAACTTTACTAGTCTCTATTAACTAGGGATCTGCGGTGAAAACATGACAATTTCCTCAATGCATCGTTGAATAACTGTAACAGATGCTTAAAATATCCAAATTATTCATTCTTTCGTTACTAATTTCCGCTTTACAATCACATCTAGTTGGAGATAGAACACAATTGGTAAGTTTGAATAGATTAATATTTTTTGTCATAGAACTTAATAAATGCTTAATTTAGTTTATATAAAATGTTCCTACTTTTTAAACAGAGGGGCTCATGATAAGTCCTGCACTATAACAAGCTGATGAAAAATAAGAATGCTTTCATTGCATTTTTTATACTATAGATTTATATTTACATGACGATATCATCATCATCATCGTTAAAACCTATTAAATTCCACTGCCGAACATAAATTTTCTCACAGAAATGATTTTTTCCATATTTGCCATGCTTGGGAGGCGGCAGGCTACAGGTTTTTTGTTGTTATTTTGAGTAGTTATCAGGAAAATGCCATTTCTGTTTTATTTACCTATGTCGCCTCATAGGACACGCACAGGATAATATTATATTAGTGGATTCTCTTACGCCACCACTACTCGTCGATTTTTGACCTTTAGCTACCAAATTCCTAAGGTGCCCATTACACAGTAGGTTTTGCTGTCAGTTGTATAATAATCACGGTTGTGATTGACGAATAACCTACCGTGTAATGCAGTGTTTGACGCCTGCATTAGCGTGTAATGTACGCCTAACACATTTTTATATTGTCACTTTACAACTATTATATATAGATGATATTATGTTTGATGTCAGAGAGTGCTGTCTTCTGTCACTTTTGTTGTTGTAATGACTAAAAAAATTTAAAAGTAAGGTATTTAATTTTAAAAAATATTAGATAAACAATCTTATTCTCCTGCCGCTGTTCTTAAATTATTTTATAATAAATCTAATCACATAGAATTTATATTGCTATCTAATGATATTTATTGCCTATCTTCTTACAGACTGCACTAAAACAACTCTGTGAGCATGCTTATACATGTTTTCATGACACGGTGATTATCTGTGGAAAATCGGTCCATGAAGCGAGAACTTTCCTGGATCTTTGCGATATGTATGAATATTCTTGCGAATATAATATGGGTAAGGCACATTTTAATGGATCCTCGTTAATATGTCTTTTAATTTCTTTAACTTATGTAAAAGCATCGTTATTTTAAGAATGTATACTTTAAATTACAACAAAATCGAACTTATTTGATTGATGACTCTTAGTCGAGATTGTTGTACACACCATCCACTTACTACCAGGTGAACTGTGTGCTCACTTGTCCCCTTGTTAAAATAATTATCTTTAAAAAAATAAGGTCAGACCAATTTATAATTATTACTCGGAATTCTGTTAATGTTGATGAAGTAGTTTGTTACATCTACGGGAAACGAGGTGACGAGTTCGCGATGAACTCTTTAAAAAGCCGTTTAAATGCAGTTTTTAATATTTATACTCAAAATATTTAGTTTTCAGACACGTGAAAGAAGATGACGGTGTTTGTCCAAATCCTAAGGATTTAGGTCAAAGGTTCGAATGAAAATCACTTGAAAAGATAAAATGTATTACAAAAACCAAAATTATTACATTTTAAGAACAGATAGACAAAAAAAATAGAATGATTCGTAAATAATTACATAACTGGCCGGCAAGAAGGTACGAGAGCAAAATCTGAAAAAGAAACAAATATATCCCAAATACTACTACAATTTTTATAAATATTTTTATTGCAGTCACGCACACAGCTTACTAAATTCAAAAAAAATTTACGAACTGAATATTACTTACTGTATTTCCAAAAACAGTTCACTTGAAGCATATGGCATACATCATCAAATTTCCCATAACCGAAGTTATCATCAAAGCCACAAACAGGAGAATGTGTTCTACGACACAATAAAGCGACTGCGCACCATGGGCTGATTTTTTTGTTCAGTTGATCGGGCTGCAATACTGGATTAGAACTGAAGGATCGGCGAGACATTAACTGAAATGATAAGACATCGTTTGTGGGATTCATACTAAACGTTTTTTGAAAATAATTTGTAATAAATATAAGGTCATCTTCGTAATATTTTTAAAAGCTTATTTAATTTTAACTCTCACTAGATAAAATAAGTTTAATAGGGAATAAAGAAAAATCATTGTAAGAAAAAGATTTACTGATAAATTTGATTAAAATAATTTATTGATAAAAAATTCAAACTGAAAGGTTGTTAACGCATTACGCATGTTCGATATTTTTAAACAGGATTATTTTCGACAATTGGTATAGGATCGGTATCATTTTTTAGTTCTTGCAATAACATATTGCCCACCAACATCCCGTATTTTGTTATATTTTTCCCAAGTCTTACAACCGGATGATCAGATTGCTCATTCTCTACACCACTATGTCTATGCTGATAATGTACCTCTACTTGTTCAGGTAAATTTGGCTTCACAATATTATTGCTCAAATTTTCGAGCAGTTGTTTTGTAGTATCCTCATTGAGTTGCACCATTTTAACAAGATGTTCCAACGCTTGTGTGTGCTGAATTAATTTTTCTTCCACAAACTCTTTGAACTTGGTAAAGCTTTGTTTTTTCTGGGCTGAATCAGTTACTTCACGTTTTCGAATTTTCTGGCAAAATAATTAAATCTCATGCTTAGGAACATATGATATATATTACTAAGAGTTCTTTTACACGTTAATACTCACCGTCGCTGGTTCCACTGCATAGACTAATACATCTTCTAATCTTTCAATTTGGAATGAATTTGCTACCAAAATCAGAACAGCAGTCACTGAAATAATTAAAAAATAACATAAAGCTTAAGAGTAAAACTCGTCTAGAATAAAATTTATATAAAAATAAATTGTAATCTACCAAGAATAAATAGCCTCATGATGTCTGGAAGCTATTTAGGACGTTCTTCAATTAGGTTAGTCTGGGTATAAGAAATGTAACTTATAACGTCCATAATCGTGAACTACATAATTTTGATATTTGTAAAATTAATTTTTAACTTTCTGAAATCATACTAAATATTAAAATTTCATAATAAATTGTAATATCTGTATTTATAAGTTAAAAATAAACATTCACTAGAATATGCTTTTAGTGTTGAGTACCAAATTCTGCCGCTAGGAACAATTAAAAAATTATATGGGTGTTTGTATAGCATAAAAGATTTTCTCTGTGTTTTCACCAAAATACTGTTACAGAAGTGAGGTTAAAAGTTTGAAGAGAATTGAAAAAAGTTTTTTAGAGATAATCTAAAAAAACTTGGCTTTTGGTTTTTGGTTTGGTTGCTTTTACCACTCCAACTAAGTTTTTAACGCTTGAGCTTGGAACTACACTTCATATCAACATTAAAATACATTCGAATGGTAGATTCCAATTAAAGAATCCTTGAGTCACCTTTTTACAAATATAATTATTAATTTTGTTACATTTTTACATACAGTTACTTTTTACACTTACTTTAACATACAGTTACATTTTTTTTTACAAAACCGTGTTTCCGTATTGCAAAAAACCTGACAATATTTTAAATATAAAGATTAAGGTAAGGTTAGCTTAATAATTTTGAATTTTATTGTTTTTTTTGTTTCCACATTTTTGGGTGAAAATTAATAATAATATTGTCTGTCTGATGTCTTTTATTTATTATACAATGTCATTATATTTGAGAACTTGCGTTTTAAATAAAAATATATCGGTTTATAGAGTATGTAAATTCACAAAACAATGCCTTAGTAGTTTTCCCTTTAATTTTTTGCGCATTTCTAAACTCTTTCTTTAATTTTTTCTACCTTAAGGAATATCCGAAGTTTAAATTATTCATTTCTAATCCGATTTATATAAAAATTACCAATATTTTGGAAAGAAACGTTATCTCTCACATTTTCCTAACTTTGTGGAAGATAGGTATATAAAATATCTCTATACACACTCGTATATTCACAAAGTGGTATTTGCGAATCGATATAATATATACACAAATAAAGTCGTCATTCTTAAAGGTATGTTGTCAAAAGTTTTACAGACGCGGTACCTGTAACGCCTTACGTATATAAATTAACAGTCGATTGTAGTATACAAATGGGGCTTCGGCGCTTCCGTAATTTCGTACTTTTCAGAGTTCAATGTTCACGAAGCTCAATTTAATACCAATTGTACTTTTTTAGAGAAAGCAACAATATCTTAAATATATTTATTAAAAAATATACTTATAATGTGCATTTGTCATTAAATTATATAATACTCATAGATGATGTGATATATATAAGAAATAGCTTTAGTGCGCATACTTATTACTTTTGCTAACTTTAATATATTATTGTGGGGAATTCCTTTAATATTAGAATCTGTTGTAAATGCATATAACCTAATAAATACAAAATAAAATAAATAAATCAAACAACACCGAACGGGAGCACAAGATCAAACGACCGGACATTAGAGGAAGTTTCAGATGATAAAGGCAAGGACGGTAAATTTAATTTTTTGTGAATTATTAATGAAATTGTAAAGTCAGTATATTCAATTACATCATGATCAGATGAGATAAATATCAATGTACTTGATTTGTCAATCAAAGTATACCTCATAATAATTTTTTTTTCTGAATATACCAATCAACTTTGATATCTCTTTGAATTTGTGATTTGACAACGTAATTAAATATACGAAAAGATAAGTCAAAATAAATATAAACAGAAACAGAAGCAGATTTTTTTTATTCAATATAGATTTCAAATAATGCTTATGGACTCTTGTTTTTTTGTTTTATTTAACACTGGTTCGGAAAAAGCCTCTGTCCTGGGAAGAACCGAAAAGAAACTCAGCGGTACTTTTTTTTAAATAACAGATTACAATCGTCTAAAATCTAAATGTTTCACAGATAACAACACAAAACAAATTAGAAATAGCCTGACAGCGATCACCTCATTCCCAGGGATTATTATCATAAAGCAATAACTTTTGTTTCATTTTTGTTAGTATAATGTAAAAAATTAAATAAAAACGTATGTTAATTAAAATCTAAATTACCGTATACATTTATATTGTCTTTCATTTTAACAGTATTACTATAATTGTATTTTATTTTATGCTATAAAATTATATTTTAAACTTAAGTTCTGACTCGACTGAGGAATACATGTACCAGCTTCAGAATCAATCATTTCTGTTTGGGAAATAACCAGTACGTATTGCCAGTGACGACAAATGGACATGAGATGTGGTCCTTCGGTGCAGGCCATATGAAGAAGCTCAAGGTAGTTCTGTGAGATATGCAGAGGGTTATACTCGGAGTTTCTATCCGTCATAGACATCATCGACTGCCTCGTTGGTCTAGCAGTTGTAGTAGTGCGTCTGCTGATCATGAGATCCTGGGTTCGGATCCCGGGTCGGACTAAAAAAATCATTTTAATGAGTTTTTCCGTTAATAATTCTCAGTAGCTGCCCGGAGTCAGGAAAGTTGGCGATGATCTAGTTAAAAGACCAGTTAAAAGATATGTGAAGTCGATGGATGCATGTGGCTCTGAACCGTGCTTTATGGCATTCTTTGGGTAAGGCCTATGTGGTAATAATGATAATGATGACAGCACATGATATCAATTGTATTCAGCTTCCTACAATGCTACAGAAATAACTAAAAATTTATTTGTGTTATAGTCAAACTGCAATTACATTGAGGTTGTGATACAAATAAATCGGCTCTACTGGAGAAGGACTATATACTATTAGGTCTTAGAGAATACTGTGAAATAACAGCTTAATGCTGCTGTGTTTTGTATAGTGTTGTTTTATGGAAACAAGGCATTCCATCTCAGTCCTCAAGTGTGACAACGCACCTGCACTTTGATTCTTAACCGAAGATAAATGTAGGTGTCAACGGGTCACAGGATACACTTACCATCATGTGGACTGTGTGCTCGTTTATCACGCTTATTTTGTAAATAAAAAGTAAAAAATCATGGATTGAAAACAGTGTTCAAAGTATCAAGAACGTTAAAGTCTAGTATAAAAATCGCATGTGATTTATGAAGCGCACAGTGATTGAATTACGAACATTGATACGCCTTTTACTAGTAAATTGTATAATTAGTACTCTCTTATTTGCTATGCTTTGTCATAACATATCGTTCCTATTGATGACTAAAATTCATATATACGTGGTGAAATTTTACATGAATATGTGGCGGCGCTGTCTTCGCGCCACAAGCGAACCACATCGAAGCCTAAATCATAAAGAAGCATAAATAAAAGTTCCGAATCAAAAACAGTATATATAGAATAGCTCGCGGAGCGTTGGCCGCTCCCAGGGCACAACACCTTGCCTGGCGGGAGATCTCCCATGTTCCTTCCATGGCCACAAATATATATTAAAATACTAATTAATGAACTTGTTATTTCTTTACTAAAATAATACTAATATCCTCTAGACCGAATTTCGGTCACAATAACCAGTCTCAACGGAGACTAGCTATCTGCGCAGGACATGATTAAATTTTTTTTTATTTTTTTATTTATTCTTAAAAAGAGTGCACATTCTTCACTTTTTTAATTTTGCTTAACTGCAAGCCAGTCTCCAAGGCGTGCGCAAGTATAGGTGCACCTCCCTATTCATAGTCCGAATTCGACACGACCCGAAAGAGATCAAAAGTAAGGCCAACAGCTTCGTCATTTCATACAAATCGTCATTTTTTAATTTCCCGTACATACAAATTTTTCTACGACGTATTCTTTCTTCGTCGAGCAAGTGAAAAATCAGCACTTAAAATTGTAATTAACAATTTCATTGATGCCAGCGGAAATCGAAGTCGGTTGCTTGCGTACTATGAATTATATATAACTGATTATCATATTTTCTAATTAATGAATTACTATATCTGTTGTCCTAGGAAAATTTTCGCCGATAGTGACAAGAAGGCTGTTTCTCTAGTCACTCAAAAGCTTAGTATGATTCAGCAAGGACAAGCAACCAGCGTTTTTGGATCTATGCGGCGGGGAGTAGGAATCCATTATAGTTTTAGTTTTTGTTTTTAGTTTATTTTACCATAATAATATAAGAAAGAGTTTTGTAAGTGTAGACTGAGAGAAAATATCAGTGAAAGAAGGAGTCCATCCATGAATGAGAACCGAGGGACAAAGCAGTCATGTTGCAGGAGTGAAAAGAGTCGGCAAGGGACGACGTAGACTAATTTTATCGACCAAGTTGGCGATATTTGAAATTGGGCCAAATTAAGAGTACCCTTAACCGACGAGCATGTGTGTGCGCGGTATATGTATGCCAGGATTATGCCTGTCCTTATGGGTTACAATAATTGACTGTTTATGTATGTTTTTATGTATTATAATAACAATTAATAATTGCACATAAACAATATGGTTAAAAATATTTATTCTCACTTCATTTATAACATACAGTTTTAATATTACTCATACCTGACTTACGGTTAGAACTAATATTAGTCTTTATTTTGAATAACCTAAAGCAATCTATTTTAGTTTCAAGTCGTTAAAGTGATTGCGTAAAGTTTACGATGTAGTACATATTTTCTTACGTTATTTCTTTGTTTATTAGACTTCAGAATTATTTCGCACATTTTACAATCAAAATACGTTTTTATTGAAACACCTTATTGAAAAAAATATGTAATATTACCTTATAATGATGATGGCAATATGTACACAGTCTTATGTAAGTAAAAATATTTTATTTTATTTAAAGGAAGTAATATTTTGCATTTTTATAGTCTACTTCTTAATTTCGTTGATGAGAGGAGACCTGTGCCCAGTAGCATATATATTTATATACCAGCACGATATATATTTATCAAACAAATAAAAACATATTTTTATAGGGTAGAGTGACAAACGAGCACACAGTCCACCTGATGGTAAGTGGTTGCTGTGGCCTATAGACATCTACACCTATCCCCGATTACGAATCGAAATGTAGCTGCGTTGTCACCCGTGAGTACTAAGACGGAATGCCTCGTTTCCAGTATAAAGATTCTCCGGTTCTCTACACTCACCATACGAAACACAGCAGCATTAAACTACTATTGTACGCTGGTATTCTGTGAGAGAGTGGCTCTTGTGGAGAATGCACCCATTCGTGCTACAACTATACTACTAATATAACTGCAGCATGGCTATACCACGTATAAAATTATAATCATATTAGACAAATTTACCTATTTTGTAAGCACTGTGGAATTTATGAACGAAATAAATAATAGCAAGTCAATGTTTACTTGAATTATAGACTCAACTAGAAAAGTGACATATAATCAGCTCAATTCTAATATAATTGCTAAAACCACAAACCACTGGAAGCGAATTATTTGAGGTCATCCACATAAAATGTGGGTCACTTTTGTACCTTTTCCAGAAGCTTATATCTCCCCCCTGAGTCCTTTAGTAAGGATTAAGGGGGAAGCAAAAAATGAGGCTCAAAATATCACCCTGAAAGATACCCCTACGTATCCTTATTCGGTTATCCGCAAACTTTATCGTCATCATTATCTGTGTCTACGCTTAATAGTTAAACGAATCTTAAACCTAATCCACTACCTAATAGCTGTATTTGTACCTAAAGCCAAAATAAAGTTAACTGCACAAATGTTCAACAACTAATATTTATAATAGACAAAATATTATTGTCGAGTTGTTTTGCTGCAAGAAATATTTCTATAGCACAGCGCCTTGCGCCAACTTTAGAGCCGCTATTAAATTTAGATCGCACACTGTGGCCGATCTGTAGATAAACATTGCATACGTTAAATTTAAGGTAGATCAGGATCCAATTTCAAAGACACGAGAGCAATCACAAAGCCATCAAACTCGAAAATCAACAACTTATGATTATGCACAAGTGCTGACTACGGCTGGAATTTAAACAAGTGGTCGTTTGATATTATACTTATCACAGTGAACCATACCTTTATATACGAATTGTATATTCTTTATATAATAAGTATTTTTTTTTAATTATGTATGTGTACTTTTTTCACTGTTATTTTTAATCCTACATATAATGATGAGACGACTATTTTCCTACATGTCACAACCCTATAATCAAAATAGATGGAGTTTCACAAAGTAACAACATTCACAACTATAAATTATACAATTACTTCAAGTTAAAAACTTCTTGACCCTCAAATGAAATTGATAACACGTTGTTCGTACATTCTAATAAAAATCTAGATATCGAGCGAGTAATGCTCGACACACACGATCAGTTGAACTGACGTACATCCAAAAACTGACCGTGAGTGTGACGTCCCAAGTTGAAAATTTTAACTGACGGCAACCCCGCAAGGATTATTCAGCAAGGATTTTTCCGGGCGCACGGTGAGTTAAATTGATCAGTTAAACTAACATTCATCCAAATACTGACCGTGAGTGTGAAATCTAAAATGTAAAATTTGAAGCCAGTGAGTGGGGAAATCAGTTTGGCTTACTTCCGTTAGAACTGATCAGTTAAACTGACCGTGTGTGTCGGCCATAAGAATATTTCTATACTCTATATGCTAGTATATTCACATTTCAGCTACATATAAAATGTTTTCAAAAATAGCTAAATACACATCCAATTTACGTAAGCTGCCTTTTTTCATTTGTACTTATATAAATCAGTAAGTTAGTTTTTTAGTCTACTAATGAATATGTACTCTTTTTAATAATTGTAAAAATGTTCATTTATAGTCCTACTGTTATATACAAATGCTGTGAATGGACACAGTGAAACCATTAAGGTATGTCATAACATTTTAATAATAATATAGCGTTATTTTCATTGCTTAAATTCAAAGTGTTTATAAAGTTATATTTTACCAAACCATACTTTCTGCCTTTAGACGTAAGGATCGCAATCCATTGGGAGCTTCCGTTTATACACAAATAATATGTTATTTTACCGTAGCTGTCCTGTGAGAAATCCTGTTAGAAGGGTAGATTGTAAAGCTTCTTTTCTACTTAGTTGTTCGCCTGGATTGGTATAACTCTTTTACCCATGTATACTGCTGCTAAGTGATAATTACGCGATATTCCAGTAGTACACCTATTGTCCTGTTCCGATTTGACGAGGAAGAAATTCATTATAATTATGTGAGGCATATCTTCTTAGTCCTCAGTAGTGACAACGCATCTGTGACCTTCTTTGTTTAAGTTCGATAAAAGATGTCATCATCAGGTCTACTAGTTTTTTTTTATGAAAACTTATTCACTTAAACATGGTTATGGCAGTGTTGTGTACGAGTAGGTACATACAAGGAAATTATACGTAAATTTATGATATTTTTTGTACCACATTTTTGTAAAACATTCACATCTTGATTAAAACTACTTTTTCGGATTTTATCGCGTTTATTTTACTATTATTTTTAATTCCCGATGTTTCGGGCGCTTTCCAGCACCCATGGTCACGGGGGACTGAGATGACTGACATCCCGATGTCATTGTTAAATCCGGAGTACCTTCAGCTTTTTTAATTATTGTTTATGGTCCGATCTATGCAAAATGAACTGACTATGTCCTGAGGTCTTGCAGTGGTATGCTTGGGTTTAGTTTTAATTTTATTGATTATAGGATCCCAAGCAGGTGGTAGTACCCAGCCTCCTTCTCTATTGAAATTAGGATGTTTTTTTAATTTCAATAGCCTCACGTATCATCCTTGGTAGGAATCGGTGTTCTTTCGCGATGATTTGTGGTCTATCAAATCTGATGTAATGGTTGGGGCTGTCTAGGATATGATCGCAAAATGCAGACTTCCCGGAACGTTGATGCTTCACATCAGCTACATGTTCTTTTACGCGGGTTCTAATTGATCTTTTGTTTGTCCTATATAAGAGAGACCACGTTCACAATCAAGCTTGTACACTCCTGCATCTTGTAGAGGAATATGACACTTGACTGATGGTAGGAACTGACTAATCTTCTTCGGCGGCTTGTAGAATGTTCTAATAGAAGCTCGCTTCAAGATGTAGCCAATGTTGTCTGTGACAGCTCTGACATATGGTAGTACAGCAGGCACACGCTCGACTGTGGTCGGTTTCACTCGGTCACTGTGGCGTAGGCGCGGGACCCGAAGCTTGTTGTCGTGCAGAACTTGCTTGACGTGCTGAAGCCGTGCTGAAACGGCGGCCAGGTGTTTACTGTCACAGATCCCTCGTGCTCTCTGTAACAAAGATTTGCCCACGGTAGCTAAGATTAAGATGCAGTCTTCAACAGGTAGGCATGTAAATAGAGACTGAACATCAAAACTGACCATGGTTTCATTGTCAGTAAGACGTAGGTCTTTTATCTCACTGACAAAATGGCATGAATCCTTAGTGTGTGCTCTTGTGTGTCCTCTGAGTGGTGATAATATTTTAGCTAAGTATTGAGCCAATCTGTAAGTTGGCGAATCAATCTGACTCACTATTGGACGTAATGGAGGTTCGGTTCGTGTATTTTTGGTAACCCTTACAACTTCGGTGGTTTGGCACATGAAGGTATTATCGAATTAACGTCCAGATTCAATTTCTCGGAGTATTTCTTAATTAGATCGCTAGTTGTTTTAAGCGTATTAGTTGTAGGGTCTGTTTTGACCTTTCGGTATGTAGTTTCATCCAACAAAAGTTGTTTCTGACGTTTCTTTTAAAATAAACGCGATAAAATCCGTAAAAGTAGTTTTAATCAATGTGTAGTGTTCGCGTAAATATAAGAAATCATTAAACATTCACATCATTAGGGAATTTATTTGAAGTATTTCCTACCTGTTCCTACTTCCTACCGTTACAATGATTTACATTTTTTTTCTCCATTTAAAGATATTTCCTACAGAGTTAGGAATGCAGTAATTCATTACTTTTATATAGAATCAAGTATTTTTCCCTAGAACGAAGAAGAGTGCAAAATAGCTGATCTTTGTGTTCACGATAAAGTGCCCATGTGTGGGATAGATTCCTGCGGAGAAATGAGGACTTTTATTGATACATGTGACATGCATGAGTTTAACTGCGACAGTAAAAAAGGTATTTCTTTTTAAATTTATAGAGTCCTGATAATTTTCGGAAACCACAACAATAATTAAAATGACTTCTGTTAAATAATTAAAAAATACGAAAGCACACTCAAGTGATATTAGTAATAGTTGGTAAGGGTGTGCTACTTGGCTGACCCTTGGGCCCCCGAAAGCCGGGCACATGATAGCCCTTTGTAAGGCCATTGCTGAACATTGCTTCTCCCAAGGAATATCTTTATATCTTTTGTAGGGTTCTTTTTTTGATGCTGTAGCCCATAGACATCTTCATTTATATATATAAGAAACAAAATGCAGATGTGTTGTCACCTCTGAGGACTAAGATGGAATGCCTCATTTACAAGGGTCTCTGATTTTCTACATTTACCATAAAATACAGTAGCATTGAGCTGGTATTTTACCCTAGTATTCTGTGAGAGCGTGGTCCAACCCGGTCGTGATAACCCATTCCTGGCACAAGCATATTAAAGCTGCAGCGTGGCTCTACCATGTACAAACTATTCGGACTGCATTCAAGCTACTAGGTAAACTAAAATTCTTCGGATATTAGCCGTAAAATACAATATACCTAGT